GTCTCCAGGTGTGCGTGGTACCCTCGTAGGAGCCCGTGAAAATTTTCTTCGGGTAAGTTGCTAGCTGAGAAACTAGAAGACTGGGATTTTGAGGAGGTGTTCCCTGACAGCTTGGCGACCAGTCTTAATCTGTCTAGCTAGAAGCATCTGCCGGAAAAATCGGTGCCGGTAACGAAAAAAACTGTGGGGAACTACGCAAAAAACACATCTTCGCACGGCAGCCCGTGCGTTGACCAATTATTATTATTATTTGCTACGATCTGCGGTTTTTCCTGAATATTTGGCACCAGATTTTGCACATCATTCGCAGTTTTTAATTTTCCAACTGTTTTTGTTCACTTGGGGCTTCGCATGATATTTGCTATGCAAATTTCTGGTGTAAATGGTGTTAAAAGTTACACATAATAAATGGTTAAACAAATACGGAGGAACATACAGAATCTTGAATTTTCTTATTTACTCTGTCTTTGATCTCGTGCCCTAAATCATTACTATCAGAGACCTCACTATGCAGCATTCTGTTTATTTTTATCATCATTTTCGAATGGCACACCTAGGGGTAGAGCGATCAGTACCAAGCGAGAATCATTTACCAGGGACTTTTCATTATCCCAGAATTATTACTAAAACTCTCCAGCGAAATGGAGAAGTGCTGTCGCAATTAAGCATGGTCCGCCAAAATAACGAATTATTGGCTTTCACAGGCAGCTAATGGATATTTTGCAACGGATGCTTTTACTTAGCTTGTTATTATCGAAGCAAACTTTCCCACACTTCTATCATTGTCATGCTTGGTATTATTATTGTTATGAAAACAGCGTTCCTGGTTTTAGCTTATCAGAAATAGAGTTTTATTATAATGCGTGTGTATATATTGTGCATTATATGACCGCGGCTAGATTGCAGACAGACACTGTTGTTTCGGAAGAAGTTGACAACTACGTCTGTCTTAGCCAAGACATAAGTGTGCTCCATAACCGAAGTTTGCACATCGAAGAGCCACCGTCTTGTGCAAATTTCACAGTTTCTGCGTTGCCGGGGCGAAGTATCGAAACTGGAGGACCATGCCTATCTCTTCAGTACCAGAAACGTGAGATGGGGTAAGTGAACTGGTGCTGTCAGAATAAGAGATAAGATAATATGAATGGAGTACGAGACGCGGGAAGAAGTAGGGTTTTGCTGCGTGTTACGCCAGTTTCTTGCTGATGAACCTCGCGTTAAAGCGAAGATTCGTAGAATAAGAAGGCCTTCCGAACTGCATTCTTCTAGATAGTACCGATCTTTTGATCATTGAACGATTACTATTGCTTTCAAGATCTGAGTGTTCGTTTAGATTTTCGTAACTGAATCACAAACCCATCAGCTCTCAGCAATAATTCAGCGATTGCTGGCAGACAGTTTTAATATTTAATTGTCACTATTAGCAGTAATAATTAAATACTAAAACCACACAGAATGGAATGGTACCTGCGCACGGTCAAGCGATCATTGGGGAGGCCACCAGGACTCAGAGAGCGTAACAACGAATTGAGTGGAGAGTTTACTAGCTGCATAGATGACACATAGCTTATCATGTATTCAAGTATTACCAGTTATCACTGTGGTCGTAATTTGCCAATTATCATCATCATCATCACTAATTTCCGGCGTTAACATTATAATCACAGTTGCTATTACCACAATTGCTGTTACCAGTTATTGCTTATCGTCGTCATCAGTAATCATTATGATTTATAGTCTTTTTAGATGATAAACAAAAAGGAATTAATGCTGACGAAAATTATTTCTTTCATTTTTTTTCTCAAAAATTCAAATTCATCTTAAATGAAGCAGAAGCGAGGTGTGTAATCGTTGCTATTGAAGCATTCACTATTTGATTGGGACTTGTTACCAGTTAGCTAAATCAGCTTCCGCGTGCTTTTGAGGTGCACTTCTGTCTCTCCTCCATTAGCTAAAAGAGGTGGGTGCAGGGAAGTCACGCAATTTGACTCAAATTTGAGGAAATAAAATCCAAGACTATAGCCATTCGAAAAGACACTGCACCTGAAATCCCTATTGTTACAGTGCTCCAGCAAACAACTTATGCGCAGTCTTTCGGATTTCGAGACCGGAGCTCTCGATATTGCCAAGCTATTACCGACCTTGTTTCCTTGGTTAACTTACCAGTGGTTTTGACTCACTAGATTTATTGCATTCCATTTCCTTGGGTAAAATTTACAGATAGTTTTGCTTCACTTGATCCACTGCACCTGTTTCCCTGGGTAATGTACAGGTAGTTTTGACTCAAGAAATCCATAGCCCCTGTTTCCTTGGATAATTTGTAGGTAATTTTGACTTACTAGATCCATTGCATACCAGATCATTGCAGCTGCTCGTTCTATTGTCAGTTCTGATTGTACAAGATCGCTGTATATGTGCAAGAAGTTAGCCCTCCCCCCCTTCCCTGGGTACCACTGCAAATATCATTCACTGATACGTGACATCAGCTAGTTATTTATGAATGAATCGGTAGTTTTTTCCGCTGGACACTACTTTTTTGCTTGGTCACAAAAGTAATCGTACAAATCGTTTATTTGACAGGCCTTTTTGCCTTGCGATAATAGCGATATTATTGGTTTTATAAACATACATTAAAGAATAATCAGAAATTTCTGGTCCATTTAGTCTTATACATTCCTATCCAGCACTATAACTGGACCTCCACAATACGCGATAGCTTTGGTTTTGGTACGTTTAAAATAAATGTGTCTAAATAAATTTCCCAAATCTTTATGTTCTAAGTACCACAGTTTCACAACTTAATTGTGCCAGTTCGTATTGGTGCGTGTTGTGCTTGAAAAAGTAAACAACTGCATAAATCAATTCCATAGGCGTGACGTGCATCCATCGAATAAACGCCGAGTACTAGCTTAAGGTACGCAATCCAGGATCGAAGAACCCAATATGATTGCATCCGATACTCCAGTTATACTGATACGGGATATCCGTACTGATAGTCCGGGCAGTCTTGATATTCTTTACATTACATGTTCATCTAAAAGTTTCACTCAAGCGGAAAAAGAATTGTGTATTCACCTCTTTTTTCTTTGTCAGATTTGTGCTTTTTGCCGCTTTCCAGTGTCTGAATTATTTTTGCATAGACTAAAGTACAAAGCAGTGAAAATCATTAGTAGGCAATCGTTCGATGGGTTGAATTGCACAAAACGGATGATCGCACCGGCCAGTCTGGTGCGCGTTGCTATTTATTCTATTTCTTACTGCATCTATCACCGTCATTTATTTATTACCGTAATTTACTCGATCAGTTATCAGAATTAAGCCGCTAACTAATGAAAGACATCCAAGTTTTCCTTATCTAATTCCCCAGCAAAAATTATGATGCGTGGATTCAAAAAAAAGGCAAAATAAATCAAGAAGAAGAGAAACTTCGGGAAAATTCTCCAAGGGGAAACAGGGGCAATATCTTTTGTAATAATATTTCCCTTTTGTTTTCTCTACTGCTTTTTTCCTACTGTTTGAACACTGCTTTTGTATGAATTAAAAGATTCCCATTTTCTTTCACGCAATAACGAAAAATGACGTCCTGAAATAGAATCCTT